CAGTTTTCGATTTTTTTAGTTTTTTTTTCTATAAATATCAATAAAGTTTTATCTGTTGGGTCAAAAAGTATAAAAATTTAATACAACGCTCCTGATATATTGTTACAATATCAGTTTGAAAAATATTTCAAATACATATGCACAATTTCTTTTTATAAGCATTTAAAGATCGAATTTTGACAAAATTTATCAAAATCTCGAACATTATCAATAATTGTAATTAATAAATTATAAAATGTTCAGTTTTTATAGCTAAGGACTGCAAATTTAAAACAGAGGTTCTCATGAATAGTTCATACTGTAACCAAAAAATCTAAAAAAATATATGAACACAGTTATTTTTTACAGACATTTTAAATTTAAATTTGGACGAAATTATATATTAAAAAACCTAGAATAACTAATTTAGTTATTTTGTTGTGATTGTATAATATTATTCGTAGGTACTTGAAACTTCTAAAATGTACTATTATATTTATATATCTATGATAGTATCACAGTTTGTTGTTGATGTATAACGCTTATAAGTACCTAATGGATATTGTGATATGATTAATTTGGAATTTATTATAGGTCAATTTTATTTTAATACAATATATATGTAATATGTATATAATATGTCTTAACCTAGACTGACATACCGTCTCCACTCAGAATCGTTTTTCTTATACAATGATATTATATCATTGAATTCAAATTTAATACCATCCATTATACAGTGACCCACTTATAACCTACAGTACAGCAGAGCACCTTTTTTAAATTACAAATAATGTATAATCAATTAGGTATTACTAATCAGTAATTGCATAATATTTTTTCAATGAAAATTATCTGCGGTGGCAAAATATCTAATCATACCTCATTATGTTTATTACATATAAAAGACATTGTTAAGCAATACAAATTCAAACATACAATATAGTGTAGTTTAATGATGTTTAAAAAAATTTAATTGAATCGTGCGTCGACTGCAATACGTAGAAATGAAACATATTGTACATACAACAAAATTGAAAATTTCTTACAAACCTTGGTTATAGTAGATAATATATGCTTTTGAAATTATAATAATTTGTGTATGAAACTTACTATTAATCAATTTAAGTGTATATACATATATTTATATGTGTGTGTATGTGCTACATCAGTTACACATTAACAATGAATAATAATTAAGTGTTAGCTGTAGTAATTCTTATGATTATCAGAGTATGGTTTAGTTGCAAATTAGTAATCAGTATTGATACAATGATGAATCTTTTTGTTGTGTTTCTGCTACATCTGCATTGATGAAGTCATTTCTAGTATAATGTTTCTGAAATAATACAATTGCATACAAATATCTGCTGATATATTTTTAGAGTACATAAATAATTCTAAATAATTTACCACAGAGTGTGCGAGTCGTAGCCAGTTTAAATGCATGTTTGACATTTGATACAAATACATTACAAAATCCGCATCAAGAGAGAAGCACGTAGAGGTTGTCGAATTTCCCCTATGTCTTAGTAGCAGTCCAACAATGATTCTGTTTCTATTACACCTGCATTGATAGTCATTTCTAGTATAATGTTTCTGAAATAATACAAATGCATACAAATATCTGCTGATATATTTTTAGAGTACATAAATAATTCTAAATAATTTACCATCTAGTGTGCGAGTCGCAGTCAGTCTAAATGCATGTTTGACATTTGATACAAATACATTACAAAATCCGCATCAAGAGAGTAGCACGTAGAGGTTGTCGAATTTCCCCTATGCCTTAGTAGCAGTACAACAATGATTCTGTTTCTGTTACATCTGCATTGATAGTCATTTTTAGTATAATGTTTCTGAAATAATACAAATGCATACAAATATCTGCTGATATATTTTTAGAGTACATAAATAATTCTAAATAATTTACCATCTAGTGTGCGAGTCGCAGCCAGGTTAAATGCATGTTCGACATCAGTTACGTATTCATTACAAAATCCGCATCCAGAGAGAACCACGTGGAGGTCGTCGAACTTTCTCTCCTCCGCGAGTCGTACTTACGACTGCTTATAAACCATGTGTCACACAGATCGGATTCGATGTTCATTAAGTTCTTGTAGACTTCATTGTACAGTTATATCGCTTGTAGAATTTCTCTGTACACAATGTTCTTAGTGACGAATCTACCACGGCCATCACTGTACATAGCAACTCTAATGGTTTTTATGGATTGAGAGTCCCTCACTCGGGAAAACGCTGCATACAGTTGTCCTATAATAAAGTTTTAAAAAGTAGAATATAAATGATACCTATGTATTTATTAATATAATATATATAAATCATGTATAATACATTTTTGCATGCCAACGACATAATAAAAATGTTGACAAATAGTACAATATTTTAAGCATAGTTTTACACCTTTGAAGGAATTTAAATTCAATTTAACATATAATACCTATGTAAATGTAGTTTTCTTGTTTTGAAATTTGTTTGAAATATTGCAAAAAATTAATACGTGTAACCCAATGTAAAGGTTAGTACAGTTATAAGGTATGAATTGAAGTAATTAAACTTGGTAATACAATATTAGTATATTATAATCGAGGGGTAAACACCTTGGGGGTAATCATGTGTAATCATAGGTAATCTTTGTAGTAAGTCATGGGAAATCATAGGTATAATCATTTAAATCAGTAATCTGGTGTACAAACTTTCTGTAATTACCCCTCGTATTTAAATGTATTGAATTTACTTATTATTACTTACCTTATTACGTATGTAACGACATTGTCATAAACAATCGACACACCAAGCTCCTACTAAAACTCTTAGCTATAATAGTTAAATGTACTGCAATACTCGTGAAAAATGTCTATCTAATCCGTGCATTCAAACTACTTATATTTTTAATATTATTGAAATTCTGAATGGCTGAATGGCGGCTTCCACAACGGTACGATAATAAAATTCATAATAATGACATTTACATAACACTTGAACAGTTTCTGAATATTGCGTTTTACATATTTTATATATTTTACACACGGAAATATCACAATTTTTGTAAAAATCGCACACGCACTTTTTTATTTTTATTATATTATATAATATATAGAAATACGGAATAACTCGGGAAAATAATATTCGAAAATATTCACGTCAATGTCGTCAATAGACAATAACGAAAAGGGAGATAAGCGAGCGGCGACGTGAAAATTTAGCGAACGCGCGAGAAGTATTATGATTGGTCGTCATGGAAGAAACGCGGAGTTGCTTATTTGCTGCGTCGCGCGAGAAGTAATATGATTGGTCGTCATGGAAGAAACGCGGAATTCCTTATTTGTCGCGTCGCCCCTGGTGGCAAAAAACGGAGACTATTTGTGTTTTATAATATAAGAGATTATACATAGGTAACATTGTAGTGCGCCCGACATATTAATAATATCCCAACAAAACATATATGTAAATTGTTCGCCAAGTTCAATTATTCATTTATTTATTTATTTATTAATTGAAATACGGGACGTGCCCAATTACATAGAATGTACATAAAGTAAGGAAAGTTACATAAATTACAAAAATACAAATATACAATTAGGATATAGAGCAAATAGACATAATAACATAATAACTAAGAGAACGTTGCATAAATTACAAAATACAATTAAAATAATAAAAAAAAAAATAGAACAACAGATAATAATTTATTGCTAAGCATTCAGGAATAGTGGGTCCTCATTCGCTAGTTTCATCATACGAACAATAGGGCGATTTACTAAATAGTTACAGCGGCTAACAGGAATTTGGAAAGGGAAGGAGCATCTGGAGTAAAAACTTGGAATTCTGAAATTAAGTTTATATAGGAGGGCAGGGGAATCCACTTCACCATTTATTAGTTTACAAAAAAAAAGTAGTAAGGAACGTAAGATTAGCCTGTTTCCTCCTGTCACATAGGGTAGACAAATGGAGGCACTGTAATACAGGTTGATAATCATGGCACGCCCAAGGACGGCGATAACCTATATATTTTATAATATGTGTATTGTGTTATGCAGACAAATAAATATATATTATACGACATAACACGGTGGCCGTGTGATATAATAATAATAATAATAATATAATTCCGTTTTCTCTGCCGAAGAATGTCGCATGTAACGAGATTATGCAGCAACCGCGCGTGCGTTTTATATTATTATTTATTATTATTATTATATATTCGCACCCATTGCCTAGGACCATAAAAACAAGTTCGATTTCTATAACTGACGACGGAGTTGCCGCCGTATTTGCTTGGGCTTGGTCCGGTACGCGTACAAACTCGTGGGCGGGCGGGTCGGGTAGGGTAGGGCGGCAATTGTTTTCGTACACGATTGTACGCACACGCCAACGGACGCGTTCAAATAAAATAATATAATGAGAGATAGATAATGTGAATAAGAGAAGCCAGATGGAATAAAAAGCTGCAGAATCATACTCGCGATCGTACCCGGCTAAAGGTCATCGAGCGATAGAATCCCACGGCTCCGGAGGCGACTACATTTGTAAAGGTACGCGTTTTCTTGTATAGTTGGCGGTACTACGCTGCAGTGGTCCGGCCCCGGCGTATGTGATATTATTATTATTATTATTATTAAATACAATACGCGTATTCTAATAACTCGTGTGAGGGGGCCCGTGCACGTGTGTGAGAGTTCAACAATATTATAATTACATAACGTCATCGGCGGCGGCTACCATGTTTTTAATACCTCCACCGCTACCGCCGTCTTCGCGACTCGTTGCATAAGACAACCGGACACAATGAGGCGCGCCCCTAGGTCCTAGGAAACGACTATATAATAATAGTAATAGTAATAGTAGGTACCTATAACAAGCGCCGCGGTATGTTTATTAACATAATAATAATTGTCGTCATCGTTGTAGTCACCGACCACCGTCGTCGTGCCTATATAATATAACATATTATGTATACGAGATAAATAATTATGTGCTCTTCGTATTTATATGCGCAGTTCATGGCCAGAGAGAAGAGTTCAAGTGCCCGGACGACTACGGGTTCTACCCGCACAGCTTATCGTGCGACAAGTACTGGAAGTGCGACAACAATGTGGCTGAACTAAAGACTTGCGGTAACGGTCTGGCGTTCGACGACACCGACCCCAAGTACCTGATAGAAAACTGTGATTACTTGCACAACGTTGACTGTGGTGCCAGATCACAATTGGGTAAGAATCGGTTGACGATTTTATAACAATTGTAAGGCGCTGACTTCTGCAAAGTTTTCTACGACGATCCGTCAAGTGTAAAACTTTTGATACATATTTTGTTTTCTTCTTTCCTTCAATTACATAAGGCATAACTTACTATATAGGTACTATTCACTCTCTAAGAGTTTTCATCTCGATAACTATGTGTTTCCACCTGTCTCTATATCTTGAACTACTTGTCTACTTCTTCACAATTTCCGAAACTTCTTAAGTATTCTTCCATTACATCAATTTATATTTGCCTTGGTCTACCTCGAGGTCTTCTTCTTTTTGGTTTCTATTATACTGCCACAGTTTTACTGTTTCATATACTCACCTCTCCTCGTTACGTGACCTAACCATTGTATATCCTTTGCTTCTTAAATATAGCCAGTCACAAATGCTTTACTCTATCGTACAATTGAAAGTATGATATCAATAATAACTATTATATATTATTATAATATTTCATTTCGTGACAATAACTCATTTAATTTACCCGCTGTATGCAGAACCTGCCATCAGCGGACCCAACTGCCAGAGATTATACGGAATCTTCCCTGACGATTCCAAGTGCGATATCTTCTGGAACTGTTGGGGAGGCGAAGCTAGCAGATACCAATGTTCTCCGGGTTTGGCTTACGACCGCGAATCCAGAGTATGCATGTGGGCTGACCAAGTACCAGAATGCAAAGTCGAAGGTTAGTATATTATATAGTGTACAGTATATGATGTAGTATTTTGGTCTAACGCGGATATCGATTTAAACAACGGCATTTATTTTATTTTATTTTTTCGTGGTCCACACAATTTAATACGGTTTTTTTTATATATATTATTATTATACCTATTATTATTTTGTTTCCTTTTTTTATACGCTTTTTTTTTTTATTCGATTTCGATCGATTTTTCAGCCCGATCCCCCATGTAATTTATCCCTGTTTAATGATTAATTTGTAAACAGTTACGATAAAATACTGGCACATTAATGCGACGACGGCATCAGCTACAGCCGCAAATTACTGGATTTACTGCTGTGTCTAGTGCACCCCCATCACTGATACACACACGTTTTTGTTGATATAATTATTTTCGTATTTAAGCGCAAAAAAAAAAAAAAAAAAAGTCATCAAATTACCCGAAGTTTATTCACAACACAATCAATAACAATATGTGCATTTATTATTTTATACTTCGTACATGTATTAAAATCCCAATCATTGTATAATTTAGGTAGGTGAATCCACATTGTCCCGTTTACGATATATTTCATTTTTTAAATATATATAATATATATATGTATAAAAAAATAATTAAATCCATTTAAATTATATATACTATATGAAAAATATTTTGTACAAATTACACTCTTTAATTTTACAATGTGTAGGTACTTGTCTTTGTAATAATTATGTTTTTTATTATTGTAAGTTTATTAATAATTCATCATTTTATTATGATTACCTAGATTAAAAACATAGTTATTATATTATTAAATATATTAATATATTATATATTTGAATACATACATTTCTACATTGTTCATCACTCACCACTGCCCTCGTCATAATAATTATTCCGTCGCAATACAATTAAACTTGTCCTTAAGTTTCCCAAACGTCCATAAAATGTTACGCCGTTTCGAATGCTAAAGAACAATATCATACTAAAAGACATGAACACTAAAATATACTGTACAAACTACAAAATATTTACATAATATAACAGTACATAAATACAGATTATTACATCAAAGTATAAATATTATAATGTACCCTATTATCAGGGGTACGACACTCCGTGAATTGGTCGGATCGGGCGATTGTGGCCTTGAAAATGGTCTCTAGAGGGGCGTGGCATACGTTACAGTAAACAGTGGAAACAATTTTTCTATGCTGGAAACAACCCGACCCCGCGCAGAATACCCTGCCTATTAAGCGGAAACGGTTTTTCAATACGGGTATAACATCATGTTGATAAACGGAAACAGTTTGAATGTTCGGACTTCAGATCATAGGTAAACACTTCACCCATCAGCTGATCGAGTGTCGCTTCTATATTGTTCTATGCTATTATGAAGGTTACACGTATCAGGTATCTTGCATGCTGCTAACACGAACGCTTTTTCCATATCTATACCTATACAAGTATCCGACTATGGAGATATTATGTATAGTCCGTGTCACGAAATCAGCCGCCAGTTTTCGTGACCCGGACTATAGCTTTCAATTTTCGTCCTTCAAAATGATTTTTAAAAACTTAGGGCTTTTCAATTCTCAAAAAAGTTTTTAAACTATCCATTATCGCATTGTTAAGGTTATAAAGGTTTTTATTGTATGTGCTGTATAGAGTATAGACGTATAGTAATACTTCAATACATGTGAATTGTGACATTACCTAATACCCATGTCCTATATTGTATATAAATTCACGTTTGTCGTTTCGATATTCATACACACCTATTTGTCTCTGGAATCCCAGATAGTATTATATATTTATATTATATAATCATTAATCAGTGGTGTTTAGAGGGGAAAACAGGCACTACAACGTATATCTAAGTACCATTTATGTTAAATATTGGCCAACATTTTGGTGAATTAGCGGCTATCTATCTTGTAAAAATTGTACAAAAATGCAAGTTGCAAGTAGGTTCCTATACCCACTTTAAAAGTATTCAAAATTAAGAAATCTGTTTTTGTATTAGGTATTATTATTACATAGTTCGTAGATGGGATTATTGCAGTTTTTTTTTAAATAAAATATTCGAGTTGCCGCCACAGAGTAATACAATTTTCCAAGATTTTGAAAAAATGTTGACGAGTGTCTCATAACAGCAAAATTGTTGGCTGCGTTATCACTTATCAATAAATTTTTACCAAATCAGCTGTTATTATAGATTAT